CGCCACCGCCACCGCCGCCGCCACCTCAGCAAATAACGGAGGAGCTTCACAAAATTGAGGAGGTGGTTTCTTTCATTTTCACCTTTTATAATTCTTATCATCATCTTTGGAACATATATATATCTAATATGTGTCTTTTAAATTAAGAACTATTTTTTTACCAAATTAATGCTTTTTTACCAATGATTATTCTTATTTTCTCATAGCATTAAGATTCATCAAGCATCTGACTTTATATTAAGGGTGAGCATGAGTCGGTGATTAAGCTTCGATGATTTTAGAAATCTTCAATTTCGTATAGGAATTCGAGAGTCGCTAAAATTCAATTTTTGGAATCGTACCCAAAATCGTGACGATTCGAATTTCGTTTGGGCGTTTTTCTTTTCTAGTTCGGTTCAGGATTCAAGACTAGTGTATGTTCGGAGCTACAAAGATTTCTATTTTTATTTCAAATGACTTTGTAGTTATAGTTAAATTTTGATATGCCTGTTCGAAATGAAATTCTAAAATTCATAATTTTTTATCCATATTAAAGATTTTATATTGAAATGTTTTAAATAAAAATAACTTATAATTTAACTAAGACTAAATTTGTGCGACCCTACGACTAAATATGGAAATTTGAAATCCAAATAAAATATAACATAATATGTTTTCAAAAAATATTCTTTTAATTTTTCATATCATTTTAATTATAATATGGAATCTATAAACAACTATAAAAATATATTATATGATTAAAGTTGACATAATTAAATTTAGTTAGTATTAGTATTTCTAAAGTTGTAATGACAATTAAAATTCATTTGAATTTTATATCTAATAATAGCTGACCTACATTTAATATTTTTTTATTTTAAAAAATTATACAATTAATTTTATAACTAATACCTAATAATATAGGATTAAAGTGGACATAAAATTTATTAGCAAAACCCATTCCTCCTTAATTATAAATGGATGAAAAATATTTCAAACCTATTTGTAATTCTCTTGTGCTTGGTAATCCAATTTGTCAAATTATTGTATTTCATAATCATATGTGTTAATTTTTAGTGTTTGGTAGTATCCCATATAGATATAGACTTATATCCATGCCTATTAATATTTTTGAAATTATAAAATAATTTTCTGATTTAAATTTCATATATATTTTAAAACACAATAACTTTTGCATTTGTTATCAAGTTTTTACTAATATCATATATCAAATTATTTTTCTCTTAAAAAAGCTTCAAATTGACACTCATATATATTTCATATAAAAAATAAATAGTTATGTTTATTGTTATAACGACGACTTAGTTATCGGATAATATTAATTAAAAAATAATATATTTTTTTATCAATTATATAAATTTATTTATAAAGTTATTATATGATATAAGTTGGGAAACTTATTATAATTAAGACGAGTAAGTCGTGGAAGTGACATGTCGTTTTAAATGAAAATATTTATGTCATTTGTTAAGAAGTATGTTATTTTTTTTTTTAAAAAAAAAACTTCACTTTATTTTTTTTTCTTTGATGAATTTAAGTATTATTTTTTAACTAGCTAGCTCGGGTGTTATACTAGTATAATGTTATAATATTCAATTTTTAATTTTGGTTGTTCAGATAGGTACGATATGAGATAGTTGATTCAGTCTTCAATACGATATTTGTAAAAACTCAAGAAACATACTGATTTTATTTTCGGTTCTCTTCATAGTAACTTCATTTTGATTTTTTAAGCAATTTGGAATTGGATGCTTCCAATGTTCAACCCTACTTCATAATATATATATATATATATATATATATAT